AGTGCCGGGTCAGGAAGGCACTCGGCAAAGGATTTTTCAAAAAAAAAAGGGAAAAGCTTTGCCGAGTGTCTTCCTGACCCGGCACTCGGCAAAGACGCCGTCAACGGCTGACGGCCAATTTTCTTTGCCGAGTGCCGTCTTGGCACTCGGCAAAGCCTTTGCCGAGTGCCCGACAAACGACACTCGGCAAAGAACCCTTCGCCGGATGCGGCTTTGCCGTTTGCTCTTTGTCGAGTGTGGCACTCGGCAAAGCCTTTGCCGAGTGCAATAGGGCCTTTGCCGAGTGCCCCAGGCACTCGGCAAAGAGTGCGTCTCCAGTAGTGATAGGCCACCTACAAGAAGCACTCTGACAACTGCGATAGGGCCGTCTCATTTAGTGTGGGGGACTGGGTCTGGCTCCAAGTGCACCACTGCATGCCCCTATCTCTGCCTACAGCCATGGCCTACAAGTTGCGACCCTGCCTGCTCGGGCCCCACCATGTCATTGAGCTAATCAACATGGTGACCATCTTCCTAGAGCTATAGCCAGCCGCTCGCATCCACAATGTATTCCATGTGGGCCTCCTCAAGAAGTTCCACGGACAACCCCCAGAGGTTGCCCCTGCAGCTGCCGCCCATGCACCACGGTGCAGCCCTTCCAGTATTTAAACAAGCCACCAAGGCCTAGTTGGTGCGTGACGTCTACCAAGTCCTCATTCGGTAGCTCAGCTAGGCCCCTTCCGCCACAACCTTGGAGGATGTCGACTCCTACATCCTATGCTATCTGTCATTCTAGCTCACAGATGAGCTGCCATCGAGGGGAGGAGAGATGTCATGTGGGGCAAGTCCTTCAAGAGGCACCGCAAACAGGCAGCTACCAGTGACTAATCAAGCCACATAAGCAAGGTTAGAACTTAGCTAAGAAGGTGATCGATTTGAGAGAATGGAAATAAGATAGAGAGATTTAGGGGAGTGATTGAAAGCTGGCCATAGGCCTATGTATACCTCTTGGGCACTAACAATTGGGAATCAAGAACGAATTAGCCTATCTCTATCCCTCTATAATCAAAATAGAGAGCCGAGGGGTAAAACCTCGCTCTCCTCCTAACCACGACTCTCCTACACCTCCACCATTGCCATCGTACCGGCGACTAACAATATTCTCCATGCCTCTCAAGGCTAGAGCAGACAACAATCTTTTTTTAGTTTTGCATTGGTGGTCCTCTTAAAAAAATTGCACAAATCTTAAAGCAATCTATTTAAATAGTTAATTACTATAATTAATTGCGAACTGATCATCATAGATTAGTTGGTTGGGTTTCTTGTGGTGGAACCTACCCATCCGGGTTCAAGTCCTCGACTTGGCACGGGTGATCGTATTTTCCTGTATTTATTCCAGGATTTAATGGCGCCATGCTTTTAGTGTTAGGCGACATCCCCGTCCCCGTTGACAGCGAGGCGTCTGTGGTGACTTCGTGAATCTCGATATCCGCCGGCTCAGTTCTTCGGAGGTGCTCATAGAGGTATGATTTGCGTACGTCAGTTCTTCGGAGGTGCTCATAGGGGTATGATTTGCGTACGTGTGTTCATAGGAGTGAGTGTGCATGCGTGTTGTGGACATCTATGTTGTACTGTGTAATTCTAAAAAAAATTACTATAATTAATCTCGTCATGGGTCCTGATTAGGCCTGGCCCTACCCATGTCCAAGCATAGCCCGGATCCGACTGCTGGTGTAGTTACATGCTGGCGCCCCTCTAATAGTGGGGCCGCCGCCGCCGCCACCGGCGGCAGTCCGCTTGGCCGTCCTCTGTGGTACCTCTGTCTCACTAGACCCCACGCCCAGGCACGCACGAGGCAGGGGCGATGCCCATCGAGAAGAACGAGGTTGCCGATTCACTCAAGTCATGCACAGACCTTCCACATCTACGAGGTTTCTTATCCCGCATTGCATTATCATCTTTGATTTGAAATATCTCTACTTTGTAGAATACCATGCCAGCGATGAAACAAAAATCAATATATTATTGTATAATTGTTTAAAATCTTGCCAGCCATCTGAGTTTTGGTTTTCATAAATTAACTAAAAAATTAGCTCATGTACAGTGAGTCGTTGGTGTAGTGGGCGGATAAGGATTTTGAGAGTCAGTATTCCGCGATGATGGGCGGATAAGGATTTTGAGAGTCAGTATTCAGTGATGAAGAACACTTACTGGAAGTGCCCAAGTTGTTTCCTTCCACCCTGCCGATCGTCCCCTGCCACTGGCCATGTTGTGTGGTATAAACAATCCTACTATTACAAAGATTTTAGCAGAATAATGCACCGTTGCTGCTACCATTGTTGAAACTGCAAAATATGTTCAGACTTTTGCATTTTTCGTTCTCATACTCATTAGTCATTACATGAATAATGAAAGATTCTAACCTTGTGACTCCTCTGTTGATGGAGGCACCTCGTGAGAACCGCTGCTCTTCCTGACAATACTGATGTTGATGCATTCTGTTACTAAACGGCAGCATTAAATTTGGATCATACTGTCCCTCATACTGATGATCTTAATTTGGAGACGGCAAGAATAGTGTCTCATTGCGACTGGGTAACCCATGGATTCAACCTGACGTGGGGCTCGGCGTAGCTAAGAGCAGCTCCAGTGTTGGTAGAAATCAAACCATGGACGTGAAGACTGAACTTTTGATACTGTAGACGCAAAAATCAACCTCCAAACTTGGTTTGACGTGAGTAAGTAAATTATTGCAGCGCAATACAATGCATCTATGCCATTGCGTCCTTTTCCTAGGCCCTCGAGGCACTCATGGTCCAACAATATGCTTTAGCATCTTGCAACATAAAACTTTTGATGCAATAATGACCATGGCTCGAATCGAAACATTCATGAATCGATGCAATCGCAATCATAAATTGCATCAGAATTCAACACTATCAATTTGGTGAAATCGGTGCCCTTGGTCGTAGCTATTGCACCAAAATGCAATACTAATATTGCAGCAAATTTATTTTTGATGCAATAATGTCCACCTATTGCACCGAAATTTTAAAATTGATACAATAGTAGCCACCTTTTACTTTAGATTTGCATTTGTTGCAAGGTGGAGTGATGCAACAGGGTCAATATGTGTATCAAAACTAAATTTCCTTCCGCCAGACTTCGATGTGATGTGTGTTGTGTTGAACTAAGAACTTGTAATGTAAACTTAAGAACTATGTTTGTAATAAAATGATGTGGATTATGAATGTTTCTTGACATGTAAATAGATCTAGGATGAAGGCTGCAAAGATGATGAGCACTATCTACCTTGGGACAACCAAGATTCATTTGGTTAAGCCGGGAGAGGCCGAAGAAAGACCCTCAGTTTATCTTCATTAGTTTGGAGGGTCCTCGTCGGAGAGAGAGAGAGAGAGAGAGAGAGAGAGAGAGGATGGTGTCTGGTGTTTTTTGGAGATAGAAAATGAGGTGCAGCAGGTGGTATATACATTGCAGATAAATGGGCTGGGCTAGGTTGTTTTTCTAGTGGTGAGCCTCCTATGGAGCCATTTGATAAAAAAAAAATGTCTAGATTATTTATTCTAGATGCTGCTTTAGGAGCTCTGGCGAACAGGCCTGTATTGTGAATCATGAATAATGAACAATCACGTGGTGAAGATGACACGCCGATTAGGTGATCAGGAGCTAGCTAGGGACTAGGATTGACAGATTGTGGCCCTTTGCGCATGCATCACATGTTGTACAATAGTTAGCTAGCTAGACTCGCAGGACCTAATGGGTTGGCCGCTTGCATCTTACTAATGGGCCAGCACCCAGTACAGTGAGCTACCAGAGGTTCATTATTTGGCATGGAGATCAAGTGGCAGGTATGGATCAGTACACGTCTTATGCAAGAATCATCAGCCTGTTTGGTTGGCTAGTTCGTATCGTTGCTGGTTCGTGAAGAAGTACTGCTGGCTGATTTATGTGAGAGAAAAATACTGTTCCGGTTGAAAATTTACGATCGTTTACGACAAGCGACAGCCAAATGAACAGGTGCCATGTGTCCTGGGCTTTATCTAAGGTCCACTCATTCCACAGCCATAACTCCATAAGAAATATAATGGAGCTCTAAAAGTGTAAATGTTTTTGACACGGAGTCATGGAAACAAACAAAACGAACAGAAATGCATAAGCAGCTGGGTGCTGATAGGATAGTCATATGATGTATGATATAGCCCTCATTTTCATGCATTTTCAAGAGAAAATCACATTCTCGTGGAATCCATAAACCTGCATAAATATAATATATATAGATATTTTCACAAAACCTGCAACTTCGCGCATCAATAGTTCATTCATAGGTTTACTTTCTTTTAGAAGTTAGAATTCAATCTCGGTATTGAAGACTTAATATGGAAATTGCAAATGTCAGGTACATGTACACCAGAGGACAATTTTGTCATGTAGTGCGCACACACCAAAAAATTGTCATTTTTGTATAAAGTTTTAAAATAATTTTCAAACTCAACTTTTGCAAGAAATTAGTACATATATGGATCCAGTACTATAGATGTGCCAAGCTTTAGTATTTTTCTTTTTGGCAGGAAATTCGATCGGCACTGTTTTGTCTACATACGTCACGTATGTATTCAAAAGCTACACGTGAAGATCCAACTGTATATACTATGTATCAACTAGAGTATCATATCATTGTTGTCATCGTCGATCACAAGATTGCAATCCAGAAATGATGGTGTTTGCATCACGCGGATTATTAGACTAAACAACAGCACATCAGAAGAAAATTATTCTTTTGACCATAGACAAACAAATGATTGAACTTAACATGTTTATTGGTCCATATGTGTATGTTGCTTTTGAGATTAATAATTATTAAAAATAACAAACGACTAGCTACCATGCAATTAATGCATCTATCTGAGGCATACTGCTAGTCAGTGTATATAATGACCACTCTGCAATCTGAAGATCCTTGTGCTGAATTCCACTGCCAGTCTGTAATTGATACTTGAGAGCTAATAGGAGTTGAGATTGCTCTTGCGTAGCTTGCGCTCGTCAGAGAGTTGTTTGGCGAAGTGAGCAAGCGCCTCTGCATTTGTGCCCTCACCGGAACAGGACTCATACACCCCAGTGTCGATGTTCACTCTCACCACTGGCTTCTTGAGCAGCTCCTGGCCGATCCCGATCAGAGACTCCATGTTCTCCTTGGTCGCGATGTCCACTGACGATGCGTTCCCAGTCAAAGTATCATCCTACATAAATACGATAGCATCGATCATCGTCGATTTTATACCAAGAACAGAATATATATGCTTTAGTATATCCTACAAACGTATCATATTCATACCTGAATGCGAAGGTAGTTCTTCTCACAGTGGAGGGCCTGAAAGAGCACGGATGCATGGATGTCAACCATGTCGGAACTGGCATGTGAGAAGATGTCGATGATCGGCGTGAAGCCACCGTTGTACAGCCACTGAATGAGGCCCCATGCCCCCATTTCGCGCACTGCTCAGCGGTGTACTTCTCCGCCTGCTTCGCCGACCCAGTGCCGACGGAGATAACGAGGTAGTTCGTGTACTTGGTCGGCCTACCAACGTTGAAGTCCAGGTTCCGACGGTGCACCTCCTTGGTGAGCATGGACATGGCGACCATGGTGGGGTTGTTGGCCGCGACGCCGCCGTCGACGAGGTGGTACTCCCGGGACCTGCCGTCGGCGGCCTCGGTCTTGAAGAAGTGCGCCGGGAAGTAGGTCGGCGCCGCCGACGTGCTGATGCAGATGTCGGAGAGGTGCGCGTTCTTGAGCGTGTCGTTCTTGTCCTCGTACGTGGAGAAGATCATGGGCTGCGGGTACTTCACGTCGAACGCCGGCACGATGATGTTGGTGACCGTGTCCGCCACCTTGACGTCGTGCGTGAGGCTCTTGATCTTGTCGTGCAGGAACACGCCGTCGTACTTGGGACCCCTCACCAGGCCCAGCAGGTTCCTCACCGGCGTCAGGATCCCAGCCCTGCATGCAGTGAAGCACCATTAGGTAGGGTAGATGAAAGTGTAGTTGACCGAGGTAGAACAGATCACGGCGTTTCTATACTTTTTCTGTGGGAACTTGGGAAGATCTTGGGTCCGTTCTCGAGGTAGAACGTGGTGAGGTCCTTGGCGGCGAACAGCGGCCGGTTGTTCTCGTCCGGCGCCGCCAGCATGGACGTGAGCAGGTCGCCGGTGCTCGTCCCGGCGATCACGTCGAAGATCTTGGGTCCGTTCTCGAGGTAGAACGTGGTGAGGTCCTTGGCGGCGAACAGCGGCCGGTTGTTCTCGTCCGGCGCCGCCAGCATGGACGTGAGCAGGGCGCCGGTGCTCGTCCCGGCGATCACGTCGAAGTAGTCGGCGATCCAAGCATCTGGGCCGTCCAGCTCCTGGAGCTTCGCCTCGAGGTATGCGATGATGGTCGCCGGGATGAGGCCGCGGATGCCGCCGCCATCGATGCTCAGAATCGTGATGAGCTTCCCAGTCGACGGCGGTGGCTGCGGCACGGTGGCGCAGTTGGCCGTGCCGTTGCTAATGCTCCCCATGTGGCTGATGAAGCTGGATACGAGATCGATCAAGTAGCTACACTAGTAGAGAATCTAAGGATGGATTGCTCCTCGCTTCTGTTGGTGTGTATGTGTGTTTCCTGGGTCTTGTGCTCTGGATCCGCAGGGTCTGGCAAGCTATATTTATGTCCTCAGGGTCTGGCAAGATGGTCAGAACAGTATGAAGGCTGAAAATGACAAGTTTTGGCTGAGCTTGCAGCTTCACGTTTTTTGTACAACTTATTAATTTCCTCCTTTCCAGTCATGCGCCGGCAGCAGTGATAGGGACTTTCTCCCTTTCCTCACATGCTTTTCATGGCTTAAGTTCCTGCGTCCTGGCCGTGTGACCTGGCAATAGGGTTGATAAGGATGAAAGGAAAATGTCACAGAATATGATTGCTTGTGATGTGGACGATGATCACCGGTACTAATGTAACTAGGGCTCTCAGACGCTTGTAGAGTTCAACTGTGTCAATTGTCTAGGACCATTGCAGACTTGACTTGTCTCTACGACTTTATCTCTGAATTTTATCATTTCTTTCATGCTATATACTCACTCTTCCCCTTCTCCCTTATGTCACTACCTTTCTCCACATAATCCTGAGTCGATTAGGGGATGACATATGATTCCTAGTGCTAGTTTCATTACACTGTTTCCCAGAGTGAAATGTAGGTTTGAAATGAATAAAACTCCTTATTACATAGTTTTATTTCATAGTTTCACACATCTAAATATTTAAATGATGCATCTAGAGTCTCAATGGGGGTTTCATCAAAGTTTCATAGGACGAAACGAGTTTAATGGGGGATGAAACTAGTTTACTCCCTCCAATTCCCTAAAGAAAGTCGTTTTAGACAAGGATTGAGTCATTCAAAATATAAATCATGAATGACTTTTAAGTCGTTGAGTTTGGAAATATGAAAACCATATAAATAGATTTGTCTTGAAACATATTTTATATTGATATACATATGTCACTTTTTAATAAAAACTTTTATAAAAAAATAGAAGCCAAAGTTATGCTTTGTAGACCATGGTCATTGTCCAAAACGATATCATTTAGGAAACTAGAGGGAGTACAGTGTTTTCAACACATGTGAATCTTAGAAATTGGGACATGAAATCCTTAGTCAGACCGGCCTGAGATGAAATGCTCCCAATGTAGTCTCACTCAATTTCCGCGTGAGGTATAATGAAAACAAAACACTCCCGTTGGAGTTTTATTCGGTTTCCAATGCGTTGGCAATAGTGTGTGCAGGGTTCATTTGGATGGAACTCATCTCCTCTCTCTCCTCACAATTTCTATGCCATATATGTCATCATTTTTGCTGATATGTTACCTTATTAAATAGGATTGAAGCTCTCATTGGGACCGGCCATAAATAAAATGCGACGAAACTTGGTTTAAACAACTATGCTCAATGCTTGGTTTTATTCTACTGTTTCATTCCATAACTGATCTAGAGTTGAACACAGAGCCCACGGAAACTCGATTCTTCTCTCTTCTTAAAAGCGTTGCTACATCTTCAAAAATGCTAAGCGACAACCTACTAAATACAGATGAAACTCAAACAAAACTTTCATTGAGGGCTTGTTCGGATTGAGATATATACATGGGTCCAAACAAGGCCTCAGACTTCACGACGTACGGACATCACCCATCGTCGTCTTCCAAATTAAAGGCGCCGCGCTACACATGCTCATTTCAATTTGCCAACGTGCTTAAAAATCTTAACGGGGCCTTGATGGTCATGTGCATTTCCGTCGCTAGCTAACCCCTGACTAAGCTAAGGCGATATATACCAGGTCCTTTCATCATCGAAACCTATGTACATGTGTATATACATATATGTAGTATAATATAATAAGCGCACTCCTTCACGCACGTACATATATAGTACGTCGCACGTGCTGCATGCATACTTTCTACGTTGGTTCCAGAGACAGAGAGACAAATATACGGCGGAGCAGGCAAGGAACAAGTAGCCAAAGGACGAACTCCCGCAGTGCCGCAATCTCATCCCAACGGTCTCTCCCATCATGTATAAAATCTTATAATATATAGAGGCTAATTTTACTTGTAAAACAAAAGCAAATTCAATAACATATTTTTAATTTAATATGTCTGATAATTATCGAAGAACAATGTAGATTAAGCAATATATTTGTAGATGTATGATAACTATCGAGGAACAATGTAGACTAAAAAAGCAATATATTCGTTTTCTTTTCTCACCCATGACAAATGTTTCTTAGGTAACATTCTAAAATTCTAACGCCTAAATTAGAAGAAAAATATGACTATATGGGTACAAAGTACTAGAAGTCTGGAATACTATACAAATAATTAATTTGGATTAAAAATCAAAAGGAAAAAAATGCCTTGAGCCTAAACAACTAATCGGTGATCGCAATTCATAAGAAGCCAAGAATCAAGATATCGTCGTCGTGGAGCCCTACCTGGTTGCTGTCCTCGTGCGCCGTGTCCGTGTCTCCGGTAGTCTTGCTCTTCATGGCGACGCGGCTCGCCAGCTCCGTGTGTGTAAGGTGCACGTTGCGAACTCACGATCAGAGTGTGCTGTGTGCAGCGTGACTCCTCGCCTCCTCTCTACCCGAGGGCCGTGGGAAAAGAAAATTAGAAAAGAAATGCTGATGTTGTCTTTTTGGCCGCCTGACCAGTTCTGTCTCTCTTCTCATTAGTTTGCTAATGCCTAATGGACTATAGGACCTAGGAATTTGTATACCTAGACTTAGACCCCTCCTCCGCTTGGGACCTCGGCTGTCGCATCTCATGCCCTACCCCTAGGGCTGGCACTGCCTCCGCTTGGGCCCTCGACCGTCGCACCTCATGCCCTACCCTAGGGCTGGCACTGAACTCCCGCCGACCACACAGCGGTGGTTGCTATGCTACTTCGATCTACTTGCCAGCCCATGGACTGCACGCACTCATGAAGCATGCGGAAATGAAGAGAGCTAGCTCCGACAAGTCATGCATCTCGCATGGTCTCGGCGCCCCCGACACATCCACGTCGAACTCTCAGTCTACATGTGCATGGCCATATGCATGCAAGTGTGCAGTGCACCAAGCTAACAAGAATAGTCGTACGACACGTGTCGCATGCATTACGTGAAAAACGGTTCGTAGCAACGGGACAAATTTTTTGTAGGGGCGGCTGGTGATGGAGCCACCCCTACAGTGACGTGCTCAGGAGCTTAGAGACCAGCCGCCCCTACAAATAAAACAACAGGGGTGGCTGATGATACGAGCCTCCCCTACAAATCGGCTTACTCACCAGACGCCTCCGGTGTTGCTATTTGTAGCGGCGGCTCAACAACCAGCCGCCCCTATAAATGCTCCAACAAATAAATACTCGGCTTCATGTTGTCGTTCCAGAGGCTTCTTCTCATCCCTCCGTTCTCTTCGCTTTCTCCCTCCCTCGCTCTCCTGACGCTGACAGGGCGATGGCCGCTGGCACGCGCGGTGCTACAGCTGCAGCCGCCCCTCCCCACTCGCGTCGTCCTGGCGGGACCCCCATCGTTGGCTCCCCGTGCGAGGCGCTGGTGGCGCGATGGCGCCCCCCGGCCGCTGCACTCGGGAGCGCCGACCACCGTCGTCGCCCCCCCCCCCGGCGAGGTCGCCTCCTCCGAACGTCGCGGCCTTCTCTCCGGCCCCTGAGCTGGCACGTTGACTTGGGCGGATGGCCCCTGGCGCAGCCAAGCCGTCCTAGGGTTTGGCCGCCCATCGGCTCGTACGCCACGCCGCCGTCGCGGTGCCCAGTTCTTCGTCGTGCCCTTCACCGGCAACAAGCACCCAGGTATGCCGGCCCCATCATTTCCCTTCCTGTTGCGCGACACTGAGCAGCTAGGATCTGGTTCATCTTCCCTAGATCTGGTTCATCTTCCAGTTTCGTATGCTCTGTTTGCTTGTTTATTGGATCCGGGTACTAGAGACCGCACGACCCCGCAGCCGCCCCGAGCTCCGTCGTCGGGCTCTAGCGCCGCCGTGGCCGGCTGCGGGGTCTGGTCCCCGCATATGGGGGTGTGGGGGCCGGTGGTGAAACAATCTGCGTCCTCTGTGCTCTCCACGTATGCCCGCTTCATCGCTGACGCCATTGTGTTCGTACGCCTCCTCTTCCCCAACTTTTGCTTGCTAGTAGCTTGCATGTGTGGTTTGCTCGGCTACTCTGAGGTACTTGTGAGGAGGGGATCGGGCTTGTGGGTTTGGCTTGCTTCTCTGTGGCTCTGTGTTTTAGAGCCCAGATCTACTGCCCAAAATGGATGGTGGTGTTGCTTCACCTATTAACTGGCAACATTTCTACTGTCTAATTTTGCTATGTAGTTGTTTGATTGATTGTTCTAGGATTTGATTTGAGCTCTCCTCTGTGGGCTAACTCTGTTTACTTTGTACTTGCATGAATGAACTCTACATAAATTGTTGTGATTAAGGTTACATGGTTTGGTTTGTCAACCTCTAATGAGTATTGCAGCTACTGATATATCATAGTAGGGTCTAGGTCTTGTAAAAACATCGTCCTATTCATTCATGTACTGTTAGTAGGGTCTGTTTGTAAATTCCGTAGTTGGCGTTTTGCTTCTGTCTTCCTCCAATCAGGAATCTCCTAATTTGATGTGGGTGCAGTATGGATTTGGGACAATTAGTATGTTTATGCTTGCGATCTCACCTGTTTCAATTTAACATCTCTTTATAGTTTTTTTCTAGAGTAAAATGCACCGGAGGTCCATTAACTTTCATTCTGGTGTCATTTAGGTCCATCAACTTTGAAACTGCATTTTTGGGTCATGAACTTTTAAAATGGTTCACTACAGGTCAATGCCACTTATTTAACCTTAAATTCAAAGTACATTTGCAGAAAACCCCCTACCTTTCTTCGCGCTGCTCGTTTCGGCATAGCATGCCTCATCGCGGGAGAGCAGCCCTTCGCGGGCGATTGTAGCCAAGCAGCAGCAATAGCACAACATACCGATGCATTCGCCGAAG